GGGTTTCGGGCTTTAGGGGTTTCGGGGTTTCGGGTTTAGGGTTTAGGGCCCCAGAAAGTTGGAACATGGTTAAGGGATGATTCATGCTGGGATTCCCTATGCTTTATTCTAGGGGCATGAGGAGAACGGAACGATGTTCCAACTTTATGGCTAGCACTATAAAGTAGTGGGGGGTTTAGGACTTTGGGTTTAAGGGCTTTAGGGCTTTAGGCTTTTGGGCTTTAGGGCTTTAGGGCTTTAGGGCTTTAGGGCTTTAGGGCTTTAGGGCTTTAGGGCTTTAGGCTGTAGGGCCTATGGCTTTAGGGTTTAGGGTTCCAGGCCGTCCAGTTTCCAATTCCCCGACTCATCGAAATATCCTTGAATGAGTCCCTTAATCCCAACAAGGATTCGGAAAGGAGCGCCCCCAACTAACTGACGCCCACTTGCAAGAACCCCCTTATCCTAAACCGGACCCTAACTAAACCCAGAGCCTGAGCCCTATACTTATAGTCTCCATTATAGTTCCCTTTTTTGGTTTAACCAATTCTATATTAAAAATCCTAAAAGGTAACCCCAAAAAGGAACTACAATGGAGACTATAGGTAATCCCGGTAATCCCCTTATCCCAAACCGGCCAGAGGTCTTCTACAAGGATGCTTTCGAGAAGCATGCGGCCCTTTTCCAAGAGCTGGGCGTGAATCCGAACAACGGCGCCAGACGCCAAGCCGCCGGCTTTCGGCCGTTTGTAGGATATAGTAAACCCCAAAAGTTGGAAACCGGATTAAGGACAAATAGTGCTGGGATTCCCTATACATTACTCTTAAGGATTGAGGCTATTGGGTTTCCAACTTTGGGGCTTCTACTATAGACCGTACCTGGACCTCCAAAGTATATGTAGAATAGTGGCCCTTGATAGGTGGTCTACGAAGCAAAAGCAGCCCTGTCGCACATCGTACGTGCCACGTACCGTGTTAAGTGACACAGTGCACGAAGCACACCCATGCAGCTATACAGTCTTGTATGCCGTTGTTGAATAGATACACACACACACACGATACTCTTGTGCACATTGCCGTCGTGAGGTTGGCGACGTCTACACCAAGATTGCTGGCCACCCCAAGCAGGCCAGACCGTGACCCTAAACCCGAAACTCTTGATTTCACAATAGTAGTGTCTGAATCAAGCCGGAGTTCGCCTTACGGATGACAGCTCGCACTTCGAGGTGTAGCATTCCAAGATTTCTCAGGCTCGGTGTTGAACCCTAAACCCGAACCCTAAACCCTAAACCCTAAACCCTAACCCCTAACCCCTAACAATTGAAGCTGCAGGGCCACATCCCAAGTCCTCATAGAATCCTGATAGTACACCCCTTGCAGGAGCCTTCTGCCAACATCTTAAACTGTTGTGAAATGGAAAGGCTTGAACAACACATCATACTATCCACAGGGTATTGAGAGTGAAGTATAACATACTCCTAAACCTTGCCCTAACCCCCCAGGTGCCTACTATATATGGGGTACTAGAGCCCCTAGGGCCCTATGTAGTAGGTACCTGGAGGGTTAGGGTTGTCCAATGTAATTTTATGCAGGACCCCCGTAGCCCGCAAGCTCCTTGAGAATCCGTGATAGCAACCCTACCATGGAATCCTGTCAAGGAACCCTAGACTCAACTACCCAGAAGGTCCAAAATAATACTATTGCAGGGGTTCCTTCTTATATTTCATGCTATTGTAGGGGCTCCTTATTATATTTGTAGTTTACTGGGCCCCAACACCCTACTCTATTTATTAAGGCCCCTATATTCCACGACCATTGTGGTTAGTAGGTCCCCAGAGAGCATCCTTATACTGGTTTTGGGGACCTAGATCCTTAGTAGTCTAGATAGACCCTAAAGCCTAAACCCCAAACCCTAAAGCCCTAGATCCCTAAACCCGAAACCCTAAATCCTAGGTCTCGAGGGAACTCAATTACGTATTAGGCCGCTAAACTACTACTGCAAAAGCCGAAATAATTACCAACATTAGTCCTTAGGCTTTCTTACTATAAATGCACCCCAAAACCCTATTCTAATTATTGAGGCCCCTTAAATTACGCGAAGGCCGAGGTCGAAGCGGACCTGATGGCATGCTACGACAAGAGGCGCGCTGTAGGGCAGCACTTGGGGGGTTTAGGCTTTTTGGATATACGCTTTGGGCGCTATAGGGCTTACTTAGGCATTTAGGATTTCTAGGTGTGGGTTTTATTAGAGTTTAGCCGGGTAATTAGGCTTTGCACCCAGTTCACGTGTCAATGGACCCATGTATACGGCAAGTATGTTGCAAAGGCAAGGTCATGCATACCTTAAACTTGGAGAAGTGTCTTTACAACCGTACGTATCCGGACATCCAAAACCCTTGGCCGATAACATCTAACTTTTACGAACCCAAAGGGTCCACAGTACCGGAATTACCATTATGATTTGGGGAAGTATCCCCCACAACAGTAATTACATAGAACCCTTTGGGTAAACCTAGTGCCTAAGCCCCTAAGCCGGGTTGGAATGTGGGCTTCCACAGAGAATCGGCCCGTGGCTTGAAAGCTGCCTGCCTGGCCTTCGGAAACAGATGGGTTTTGTGTCGTACTTGGAGGATCATGGGACTTAGTAAGTAAGGTTATAAGTCCCCTAATTGGGGTCATAAGTATAGTTACCTTAGTTATAACCCTACTTACTAGGTCCCATGATCCTTTAAGTAGGGTTTAGGGTTTAGGGTTCGGAACTGCAGTGAGCCCCGGAAAGTTGGAAACCGGAATAAGGACAATTAGTGCTTTGGGACTCCCCAAAACATGACTCTTAAGGATTGAGGCGATTGGGTTTCCAGCTTTTGGGCTTCACCCTAAATCTAAGCCCATTATAGG